ATCGTTGTTTGGCGGGCCCGGGCTGGGGATTCGAACCCGCCACCTTAGGTGTATGTGGCTGGCGCCTTAGCCGCTTGAGCCACAGGCGCTGAGCCAAGAACTGTAATTTTTAAAAGTTGTTCCATTCTCATGGAGAGGCAGTAAGTCAAAAGACAATAGTTTAAGAATATTAGAAATAAATGGCAAACAACAGCTGTGATGTATTACTTATCTTATTCCTCTTATTTCTGTTCTTTGCATGTACATCTCACTCTATCTTAAAATAGCACAGCAGGAACTCTGACCTGCTACCCTTTTAGCCCCCCTGCCACTCACTAGTCTGTACCAAAGCCTAGGGTTTGCTGAACCCAGGTAAATCCAACCAACCTTTTGCTCTTTCTGCAAGAGAACACTATTGCTTAAAATAACTATCTCACCCTTTGTTCTCAACACCATTAGTATGTCCCACACATTTCTAAATGCCCCTAGGAGGGATTTGTAGACTGGACACTTAAAGACCTACCAGTAAACAGGGTCTTCCTTGAGATCAGCTCTCTCTTTGGGAGACAGGCTGCCTTCGACAACACGTCCAACAAGCTGGTCAATAGTGTCTACTACCTTGTGATCTGCTCGCTGGGGGACTGCTGGAACACACAGAACAGCTTTACTGAGAAACATGGTGAATGTGGGTCCTGGAAAGACCAGGATCATGAGTTTAGGGGCTTAGCATTAAACTCAACCAGGCACCAACAGCTAAATTCCTCATTCATAACACACCAGTGTTGAAAAGAGGAAAACAGTATTTTATTCTAGAAATGAATATGCAAAATCTCCTCCTAAAAAATATAACAGCATGACCACCAGAACAGAAACAGTCACAGCTTACAGAGCAATTTATGTCTCTATTCTAAAAAAGGAAATGTTACATAGCAATTTGATATTACTTTTCATGTATCACTTAAAATATAAATGTAATTAGTGTTAAAGTGAAAAATACAAAGGTATATGTATCTAAATATAATAATGCATCTAGACTATGATTCTCAATATAAAAATGGGGATAAATAAATATGGACACAAGAAAAAATCTGAAGGACATATAATGGTAACAGTTTATAGGAGATAGATTTAATCATGGATTTCCTTTTCCCTATGCTTTATCTTTAAAAAACAAACATATAGTCTTGGCGCCCATGGCTCAGTGATTAGGGTGCCAGCTACACACACCAGGGATGGTGGGTTAGAATCCGGCTGAGGCCTGCTAAGCAATAATGACAACAGCAGCAAAAAAATAGCTGGGTGTTGTGGAAGGCACCTGTAGTCCCATTTACTTGGGAGGCTGAGGCAAGAGAATCGTTTAAGCCCCAGAGTTTGAGGTTGCTGTGTGCTCTGACACCATGGCACTCTACCAAGGGTGCAATAGTGACACTGTCTCAAAAAAAAAAATAAGAAAATATATTTATAGGCCAAGTGTGCTGGCTCATGCCTATAATCCTATCACTTTGGGAGGCTGAAGCAGGATCGCCTGAGGCCAGAGTTCAAAATCAGCTAGCAACTCAGGAGGCTGAGGCAAGAGGATCACCACAGCACTCTTCCCAACATGACCAAGTGAGACTCTGTTTCAAAAAAAATCAAAAAACAAAAAAAAAGTTTTAAAAGGTCGAAAGTTTCACGTCAAGTGTTCACAAAAAATATCTGATGGGCTTGGCGCCTGTGGCTCAAGCGGCTAAGGCGCCAGCCACATACACCTAAGGTGGCGGGTTCGAATCCCCAGCCTGGA